GCTTTTCTAGAAATTCAGGTAATGAATAACTCTGGTTTCAGTTAATCTTTAAAAATAGGGTTTTACTGGACAAATTTTATTTACACATAATAAATGAAAAAGTCTGAAACGTTAAGAAAGCATCCTAATTCAGAACAATTCTAGGCCAAAAGTGATATTTGTAGATAATTCAAAGCAAAAAAAAAAATAAACCAAATGAGCCACTTAATCTGTGGTTTGGGTATCATTTTTTTCTGCCAGTAATCAATGAAAGTGAAAAGTATCCCTGGAATGTGAAGCTATTAGAACCTATTTAATTCAACATCATTCTTTCACATGATTGTGAATAATGATTTAATAGAAACATTTATATTCACATGCAAATACTGATTACCAATAATTAGTATTTGAGTCCTGATTCTTTTCATGTGCTGATTTGCATAACCACATTCTTATCCTGTTTAGAGTTCCAAATATTTAAGCCAGTATAGGATTTTTTTTCCCCTTACTCTCTTTTTCTGCTTGACTGAGAATACCAAGAATGTTCCTAATACTCACTTGAAGGTTGATTTAGTCACACTAGCAAAACCCCAGGCTCAAATGTCAAATGGGATCAGTTCAGTACACTGCACAAATCACACTGCAATCTTTTTGCTCCAGAAGTTATAGTTGCATATTAGTCATCACAGCAAATGTAAATGTTCAGTGATTATACATGAGTTTTGCTAGCTTCCCAAATGGGAATTTTTTAACCTTGTGTATTTGAAACAACTGAATGTTGAAATTCAGTGGCTGAAGGCAGCAATCCAGGCTTCATTAGTACAGAGGAAGCAGTGCTCACTTTGTTACACAAATAATTAGAGAGATTAAATGAAAATAAACAGTGAGAGGATGTGCTGAAGCTCTAAAGTTAGGTAATTATTTTAATTACTCTAGTGACTTCCACCAACCTTCATACCAGTTACAGATCAAATTTAAATTGTTTTATAGAAGAATATCATAAGCTGTATAGAAAAAGTACTGTAGCTACCCAGTGATTATTCTTCATAGAAATGGTATTTTCTTCCAATTTCCATTAAAAAAATTTATTTCTATTCCACCACCTAATAAATCTTACATATTTTCTCATGCATGATATATTTTTGCACATAAAAGTTTTGTATTCTGGTTGTATACTTCAAATGGATATTCTTGATAATATCTCTGTAACCCTATATCTTTATATATATATATATATGTATATTATTGTAAAGATACTGTACAGAAGTTACAGTTACATGAGCAAGGTAATGAGTCCATTGCCTATTGAGCATTGTTACCCCCTCCATTGTTTTTCCCTACCATCCCTTTCCTCCCCACCTCCCCCCAACTCCTCCTACTCCTCTCCAAAGTTGTAAAGTTCGTTTTCAACATAGTGTCTTGTACATCTCGTTGCTACAATGGGTCATCTTGTATCCTTATTTCAGCATTTTGTTATTTCCCTTCCCCTCCCCAAATTAGAAAAATGTATATACAAGATGCAGGACAATGACAACAGATGCAACCCTGTTGTAATCTTTTTTTTTTTAATATTTTATTTTATTTGTGAACATACTGTACAGAGGGGTTACAATTACATGGGCAGGATAATGCGTGCATTTCTTACCAAGTATTGCAGCCTCCTCCTTTGTTTACCCTTCACATCCCTTCCCAGCCTCTCCCATCCCCCCCCCAGTCCCAATCCTTCTCTCCCCCCTTCCCCCCCCCCCCCCCCGCACGGATAATTGAGATTTGACCATTAGGGATTTTTGAGTCATTGAGTGTAAAACAATATGGCACATTCACCCACTTGCAATAAGTGTCGCTTAGAATCGTGTCATCCTTACTGTATGCCTTGACTTTGGGGCAATTGATTTCTTCTTTCTTCTTCCTATAGCTATTTAGGAAAACTCTAACACACCAATGGGAATCTCTTTCCCTATAGGTGGAGGCACGATTTGAAGATATTTCACTTCATATTTATGTGATAATTGTGATCAGAGAGACTCCCAGGTTAACTATTTCCATGTAATGCCAACTTTGCTGCAAAACACTTATCCTCTTTAATCCTTGCAAGATTCCCATGGTGTACATAATAAGGAAATGGAGCCTTTGAGAAGCTCATTAAATTTGTAGAGTTGCACAAGGAAAAGTAGCCCAGCCTGGACTCAAACCCATGTCTGCCCAGCTTCAAGAAACATGATGGCTGAGAATAGATGAGATAAACCTGGCTAACCATGTATGTAATACAAAAATGGAGCAACAGCTCTTCATGTGCTCCTTAAACTGTGAGCACTAGCTAAAATCTCAAGTTCCAAAATTTAACTGTTGTTCAGTAAAGAGCCTTGGTGTGGGAGAAGACAGGAAAGGGCTTACTATTAAGACTAGTTAAGACCTAACTAACAAAAGCATCATTAAAACATCACAAATGAAAGTGATGTTTTTTAATACAATTCACTGACCAGTTGGTTTTTACTCCAGCTCACATGAGCCATTTTGTTCAACCAAATAAAAAAAATTTTCACAGAGTAAGTCTTCAGTAAGTATGGATGGTGGGTTTCAGTTTGTGTGCTGCCTTCTAGCATTTAAGGAAAGCCAGTATTGATTTCTTGCCCACCCCATTACCCTTACTCATGATGCTACATGCATACAAAACCCAGAGCAGGGCATGAGTTTCCTAGGTTGTGTTTGTAAGTATTATGCCCACCTTTGGTCCTCAGCTCCACAGACTTGGGCTCCTCCCTGCCCTGGAGTTCCTGCTATCAGTGGGCCTTCTCTCCACCCAGACCACCTGAGCTCCCATCTACCTCACTTCCTACCCTGAGACGCTGCTGCTACCTAGAAAGTGGCAGATGCCATGAGCTCCCTCTCAGGGAGCTCCTCTAATAAACCTTGTAATAATCTTTCTCCCGTGCCTGCCTGCCTCTGCGTGGTCCCCTGGGATGCTGTGATGGATCCTTTCGGTGTTCCATTCAAGGTACATTGGGGCTCTTCTAGAATCTTGGTGGACATCCAATGGAATCTTTATTTTGATTTTAGGATGCATGAATCTGCAGAGCTTCAAATGTGATTTTTTAGTTAGGACAGCAAGCTTCAATAGGTTAGGAGAAGAGACCAGTGTGTAAGATTTCACTCTCCAGTGTCAGAATGTGAGCATGAAATTGAAGCAACTCACAGATGGGCCAACCCCTATAATGGAAAGAAGGTTCAAGGTAGAGCCAGAAGAGAATACCCAGAAAGGTGAAGTAGACATCTCCTCCAAAAGCTATGCTTTGCCCTCTGAGAATGCACAGTTGGATTTGTGAACATAACTGAAGAAGGCAGAAAAATTAGAGAAGATGCACTCAGAAATTATTTATCTGGAGCAGGAAGAGGAGGTGGGTATTCCTTCTGTTTGGAAGCCTCTCCCTGGGATGTACCCACAAGTATGCTCTCTTCTTTCTTAGCCCACCATGAGTAGATCCCCTAGCTAAAAAAGGCAAAATCATGTGCCAACGGTGTACTTGTCCAATGTACTTGTGCAGACGCTGTCATTGTTCCATATGCCATGGTCTGGTTCTGATGGTACCTCGCTGGTGTCTAGGAAGATGGCGCTGAGTGTTCAGAGGAAGAGGTGCAGCCTGTGCACAGGACGCCATAGGCTGCACTTCTAGACCCGTTCTTCCACTGGCCACATTTGACACTAACCTGGACGAAATTCCTTTTAATCCTGAGTTTTGGTTTCCTTATCTGGAAAATGAAGGGGAAATGTGCTTTCCAACCTTCCTTGAAAGGATCTCAGGGAGAAAATTCTGGTGAGAGTAAACTGTAATGGGACTGTGGCTCCAGATTATTGAAGAAAAGCCAAGTTGGACTTTGAAGAATTTCCAAATCTAACTGCAGTCTGGAAGCGCTGTTTGGGATTGATGTCCTTCTTATGGGCTGCTTCACATTGCTCCCCCTCTCCCTCTCCCCCCCCCCTGCTGTCCCTCCCTCTCTCTTCTCCCCTCCCCCTCCCTTCCTCCTTCCCTCCCTCCCTCCCTCCCAGGTCTCCGAGTTTTCCCGCAAGTGAATGGATTTTCCTGGCTGATCTCCAAAGACCTTGCAGTATTTTGGAAAGCTTAGGAGATCCGAGGACTGGCACCATCCCCGCCCGGGGTCGAGCCTCCCCGCGGGGAGCCTCCTCCCGCTCTCCTTTTGAGCCGGTGCAGGGGCCGCGGGCGGGCACAGACCCGCAGCGCCGGCCCTGTCGCTCCCGCCCGCCCGCCTGCCCGCCTGCTCTGGCGGCCCCTCCCAGCCTGGGCTGCGCTGCCGTCTTCCCTCCGGAGGACTGGGGGGACGCTGGAGTCTGCAGCGCCCCCGCCCCCCGGCTTTTTCTTTCTTTGCTTGCTTTGGGATCTTGCTGCCAGAGCCGCGAGAGGTTCTGAGAAGAAAAGAACGGGTACGGGAGGAGCTCGGGCGTCTGCTGCGGCGCGGGAACAGAACTGGGGACATCACATCTGTCGGGTCCCCCGCCCTCCCGCCACGGGTGTCGGCGCCAGGGTGGGAAGCCCCCGGCACCTGCTGCCCGCCTCGGAGCAAGTCCCAGGGAGCGTCACTGGGGTCCGCAGCTGGGCACCATTCCCTGCAGCGGCACCGGACAGAAGCAGTGAGGCGCCCCGGGTGCCGCCTCAGGCACCCCGGCTTCGGAAAGCTCGTGGTGCTTTCCCTGCGCTCGCCCCAACTCCGGGGCTAACAGCTCGCGGCTGGACCGAGTCCCGCTTCCCGCGGACTCCCCGAGAGCGAGGGCACCCTGGCAGCCCTGCCCCCGGGCCGCTGGCACCCCTTCTAATTCCAGCTGTGCCAGCCCGGGCGCGGATCCCGCACGCCGAGCTGGGGAGCTCTGGGGCTTGGGGCGCCCGACGGAGAGCGTGCGGGCCGCGGCCCCCTGAGCGCGGGCGCCGCTGCCACTGTCCAAGCCGCGCACTGGATTCCCCAGCTCGTCCCCTTCTTCTGGGGCGTCCGACCCGGGGGCAGTGCGCGCCATGAAGTCGGTGCTGTTCAGCCGCTTTTTCATCCTCCTGCCCTGGATCCTGATCGTCATCATCATGCTCGACGTGGACACGCGCAGGCCCGCGCCACCGCTCACCCCCCGCCCGCACTTCTCTCCCTACGCCGCGGGCCGCGGGGCAGCCCGCGTCCCGCTCCCCCGCAGGGTCAGCCCAGGGCGCCACGCGGAGCAGCGCAATGAGTCTCGGCCGCGGGCGGAGCCGGAGCCGCCGCTGCCCACCATCTATGCCATCACGCCCACCTACAGCCGCCCGGTGCAGAAAGCGGAGCTCACCCGCCTGGCCAACACGTTCCGCCAGGTGGCGCGGCTGCACTGGATCCTGGTGGAGGACGCGGTGGCGCGCAGCGAGCTGGTGAGCCGCTTCCTGGCGCGGGCCGGGCTGCCCAGCACGCACCTGCACGTGCCCACGCCGCGGCGCTACAAGCGGCCGGGGCTGCCGCGCGCCACCGAGCAGCGCAACGCGGGCCTCGCCTGGCTGCGCCAGACGCACCAGCAGCAGCGCGCCCAGCCTGGTGTGCTCTTCTTTGCCGACGACGACAACACCTACAGTCTGGAGCTCTTCCAGGAGGTAGCGGCCTGCCTGCCCTGCTGGGGGACCACCGCGGGAGGGACCCTGGGTCTGGCCGCGCTGAGGTCGCACGTTTGGAGTTCTGGGTTCCCATGCACACATTCGGGGCTCCTCGCTGGTTGTGCAGGTGGAGAAGCCGGAGAGGACAGGTGTGGCCTAGGAGGAAGGGAGTTTGCCTTAGGTTTTCTTGGCCTCTGGACTGTGGCCAAGCGGCTTGGGGTTGCAGTCCAGACCCAGAAGCAGGCCTAATGTACGGGGTGACGTCCAGGTAATTCGGAATTGAGAAGCGTGTAGGTGGAGGTGGTGTCTAAAACTTAGGTTAGGGATAAATCTCTCCTATGTATGCTACGGAAATGATAGTGAAGACACTATCTTCTATAGGTCCTCCATCCATCGCTTCCTATTCTCCACAAAATAGTTCTTTCTGCCCCTGAAGATAGCTTCTTTTTTTCGTTCAAGGAAACCTTGTTTGGCAAATAAGTTGGAATTGTTTTGCCCTGTGGTTATGTCTTTTTGCAAAAGGCAGCATCTGGGCTGCTTTCCTCTTTCTGGCCTTTCTGGAAGGCCTCTGTACTTTCTGGTGAGATCTTGTTTGGTGCTTATGGCAGGCCAACACTTATCCAGCACAGGTGAAGTTATTTTAAGCTGATATTTTACAGTGGAGCTGTGAATAGTCTACAAAGAAAACTGAATTGCATGGTTCCCTTCCCCATCCCCCACCCCCTTACCCCGTTACAGCCAAAAGAAAGCTTGTTGGTGTCTTTGTCCTCTGAGACTGTAGCGTTCTTCCATCTGAAATTCCTTGACATCCTGCTGGCTACCAACTCCATCTCCCCCTTTCCTCAAGTAAATTGGACACTAAAAAAACACAGTGTGGGTTGGCACTGGTAAAACAGTCTGTGTCTAGTAATGGAAAGCCCTAACTCTCCCCCAGCCCATGCTTTCATCCTTATCTCTGTTTTGTTTTTGGAATCTCAGGACAAATCATCTGTACCCTACCTGTTGAATTTTTTATCGATTCCATTCCATGATTGGTGGCTCACGCCTGTCATTTTAGCTACTCAGGAGGCTGAGATCTCCGGATTGAAGTCAGCCAGAGAAGACAAATCAGGACACTCTTATCTCCAGTTAACCATCAAAGAGCCAGAAGTGGAGGTATGGCTTAAGTAGTAGAGTTCCAGCCTTGAGCAAAGAAACTAAGCAAGAGTGCAAGGCCTTGGGCTGGGAAGATAGCTCAGTGGTAGAGTGCTTGACTTGCATGCAAGAGGCCCTGGGTTTGATTTCTCAGCACCATATAAGCAGAAAAAGCCAGAAGTGGTGCTGTGGCTCAAGTGGTAGAGCGCTAGCCTTGAGCTGAAGAGCTGAGGGACAGCGCCCAGGCCCAGAGTTCAGGCCCATGACCGACAAAAAAAAAAAAGAAAAAAGTGCAAGGCCTTGAGTTCAAGCCGCATTTACACACACACACACACACACACACATATTCCTTAAAGTTAATTGTCACCTTCATTTTATTTATCTGTCTTCTAAGATAAAATGAATAGTTGTTCTTCATCTTTTCTTCTTCATTGCATAGTGCTTTCCGTCCACATTTCTCCAGAGACATAAGCTTGGTAGTGAATGGTATAACAGCAGTAAAGTTGATATATATTATTTGAAGGATCTGCTTTTATTTTAAAATTGGGCTGCTTCAGTGTTCCTCCCCTAAAAGAAGTGGCTTATATTCTGAATCAAAGAACTTCACATTTCAGTGCTCAGTAATTTTTTCTTTTTTCTTTTGCCAGTCATGGGGCTTAAACTCTGGACCTGGGTGCTGTACCTGAGCTCTTCAGCTCAAAGTGAGCACTCTGCCACTTGAGCCACAGCACTACTTCCGGTGCTCAGTAATTTAAAAACCAAGTCTTTATTTATTTTTAATCTGGTTCAACTTGAAAGCTGCCTTACCTGTGAAGAATTCATGGCCCCGTTTAAGCAAAATAATTCAAATCATTGTTAATTAGCATTTTTGGAATGGACTGTGAAAGGGAATTAGTTCCATTATCACAGCTTTTAGCTTATTGGCAAGAGTGTTAAGCAAGTGCAGAAGTTGGCACATACAGGCAGTGAATACAGCCTTCCTTTAACGCTTCTCAAGCTGAAAGAAGGGCTTGTGGTGGAGGATATTTAGAAGCAGGAGAAAGTATTCACTTCCCCATGTGTCTGTGGGAGAAGGTGGGGAGAAGATAAAGAGGAGAGGAAGACAAATAGTAACAAAATAGAAACTAAAGTAAAACCCATGCAAACTTCCTCAGGCTATAAAATTTTGCACAATGAGAGGCAATGAAATGATCAAAATAAATAAACTTAAGTGACATTTTGTGGAGAGATGCCAACTATATAAAATACATAACAGGTTGGCTTAATTTGTTAGCCAAACAGGCTTGATTACAAGTATAATATGCATGGCCCATTTAGAATGTAAGTTCTATATTGCTCAGCCAGGCATTTTGTGACCACTAGACTTTGCCTCTGGTTCTTTCTCCCTCACCTGTGATTGCTTACACAGATCAGGGCGCCCTTTCTCATAAATGCATTTTGACATTTAGTTTTTTCTTCTTACAACTTTTTTCCTTGTATGGCAAACACCATTTGAACTTGATCCAGTGGAGTTTATGCATCCTTTTGTCTTTGTGCATTTCTCAGAATTTCAAGTTCTTTTAAACCTCAGTTTTATTCATGAGATGGGTTACCATATACCCATTCTGGAATCAATGATTCTATTGTGAACTATAGTGTAGATGCTATTTTCTTGGAGAACAAATAGGACCTGGTATAACTCATAAAGACATGAGTCGGTGCAGGAAGAGAAAGATGCTCAACATGGATTCTGTAGGAATAAATCTCAGCCCCTTATGTTGCATGTATATACACAACTTAGTTTATAAGCCATTCACAGTACTTAAGAATGACCCAAGTCAGGCTTCATCTTTTATTCGTAGTACTTCTAATTTTCCTGTATGATGTTAGATAAGATAAAAGGAGGAAAATGAACCAGTTACAAATTAGCTCATTGAGTATTGGCTGCAAATGAAGGAAAGTAAAGGATGAAAGGTCTCCAAATTAAATTAAAGACACACCAGGCATCTGTGTTCAATTATTCCTCCCTGGTAACTGGAATAAGGTTTTTCCTCCCTCCCATACAGCTAACTAATTTTCAGCTTTCTTTCAAGTGAGCTGCACTGCAAGGAAAGTAATGTTTCTAGGGAACAACCCTATTTGAACAGCCAATTCAATTTGCAAATGAAGCCGAGTGTGAGAGACAAAATGTGTCCACTAGAAAAGCAGGTGGTAGGGTTTTTCTAGGTTTCAAGTACCTCAGCAACTGGTGCAGAGCTTCCTGAGGCATGGATGGGCTTTCAGGCGATGGATCCCTGGTAATCCTGCCTGCCTGTGCATCCTATCGATCCAGCTCTCTGAAAAGCGTATTTACAAAGGATTTAAGCTGCTTTAATAAAAGCCACAACTACAGATAAGTGTGACTATATCTCTTTCTACTTTCAGTTCCACTATTGATCAGATTTCTGTTCTTCATTAGAAAACCTTCAAAGCTAACCAAAGGTTATGGTTTTCACGTGAAGTTAGTTTGGAAATCAATTGAATTGAAAAATTTGAAAGAAAATAGTACTTTAGAGTAGGCTCATAATCCTGCCTAGGCTGAGATCCAGTTTTGAAGCCAGCATGGGCAGACAAATCCAAGAGACTCATCTCCAGATAACCAGCAAAAAAATTAGATGTAGAGGTGTAGAGCACTACCTTAGGCAGGAAAAAGTTAAGAGCGCAAGGCTCTGAATTCAAGCCTTAGTATTGGCACCAAATAGTACTTCACAAGCAAGAAATTAACAAAAAAAAATACTAAACTAAAAACAGTTTAATCTTAAAGAGAGAAGACTGGAAGACAAGGCAGGTCAGACATTTAAGGAATGCATGGAAGGAGTGAGTTAATGAGACTTGCTTCTAGAAGACATTTCTAGAAACAGTGAAGTGGAAGAAAGAGGCCCCCACTTGATTTTGTGTTGTTGTTGGACTGTGATGCTGTTTGTGTGCACTAGACAGATGAAGTTAGTGAGGTTTAATTCTGTCTTATTACTGTAGGGAGTATTTCTGTGTTTCCCTTTTCATGCTTACTGAAGCCATAAGCCAAAAGACATTCGAGTTAATAATGCTTGACACTTTTTGCCCTGAGTAGCAACTAAAGTTCGTGAAAGTAGACAATAGTTTTACCTTTTTAAGTGTCTAAGCTTAGAGTGACTCTAAAACTCTTAAACCTAGAAGGGTCCCTTGGCTGTAGCCCTAAATGACTACATGAAATGTTCCCCTTGTATTTTATATTTTTACCCTGTGAAAACATATTAATAGGTGTGCCACAGGCCTGATGAAATGTAAAAATTTTGTTTAAAAAAACTACAGCCAAAAAAAAAAAAGAAAACTACAGCCAGTTTTCTTGGACTATAAATGTTAGATCTATAGATTTCCTTTAGTCTCTCTGGGTGTGTCTTGAATTATGGCCCACTTTTAAAATAGGGTTTCCCTTAGAGAGCACCACTTTTCATTTGGATTTTGAGATTTTAATAGGCCGGGAATAATTCAGGTTTAAAAGACATTTCTCCATCTGCCTCTCCTGCTGATGCATCTCCCTACCCATCATTTGTCTTCCCTCAACTGACTCTCATGAATAGGCATAAAGACATGGTTTGATGTGATGAATCTTGTGTCTTTTAAATATTTAGGCTGTTGTTTACTTCTTGGAAACCGTAGTGTGTGCTTGCATTCTCTCTCTCCTCCACTTGCTTCTAGATTACAAGCTGGTACATTTTCTCTCATGTGAATAGTAATGAAATACTAATTGCTTTTAAGGCATGCTACAAAAACAAAATAGGATAAACAAAGGCTATGGTCTTATTTATTAACTATTCCAGGTAGTACTCAAGTTGTGTATGTGTGTATGTGTGTGTGTTCACAGAATT